TTTGAAAAGCAGAGGTTATTCCCCATAGTGTACTACAGTTTTGTGAAAGGTCAAAATTCAGGGTGTCTTTACTCCACAATATTGCTTAAACATGTTATGTGTAACTAATATATCCAGGCAATATTACTTTCAATAATTAAAAATACGTATTTCTGGGTTCTTGGAAATCAGAAGAGCAAACAGTGGCAGGTGTTAAATTTAGACCGTTTATACTTCACACAGGAGAAAGAAGTTTGGAAAAATTCATTCCACTGCTCAAGGGAGAAAAAATTTTTAAGTGTGTTAGACATTTATTTCTTCTCCTAGAATCAAAAGCTCTTTACCAAGTCCAAGCTCACTTGCAGATAGAGACACCATGATGAAGAGAACATATTCCACAGTTTTCTTTATATTTTTGCTCTCAAGACTCTTATTCTATGCTTTGAAAGAATAAATACGCTTCTAGGTAAAAATCACATAATTGAAAAATGCATGTTATCACAAAGACAGCATTTTGTGAGATCATTTGTATAAAAAGACATTTTAAAAGCTTCTGAAAATAGTAAGAAAGGTGTGTACCAGCACATGAAAAGAATAAAAGACCTTTTAATAATTCAGATGAAGGATAAATAGTATATTCAGTAGCTATGAAAGACAGGATTCTGATGAGATTTAACTGGGCAGCTTAAGGATATCTCACAAAGTTAAAAGGTGACAAATGTAAAGCAGTGCAAATATGATGGTAAAAAACTTCAGTTACTATTCTTAAATCAGGCATATGAAAGCTTAATGTAGGAAACTTAAAAGCATAACAACATCCAGGGCACCTCATTCTACCTGCTGAATGAACAGAAACTGTAAAAATCCCCAATCAACCAAAAAAAAAAAAAAAAACCACAAAAAAACCCCACAAACCCACCCTAAAAAACCCAAAACAAACAAACAAACAAACAAACACCAACCACAAAACCACACAAACAAAAAACCCCAACAAAATAAAAACAAACAAACAAAAGTTAATATACTGAGAAACAAAATATGATTTTTAATTTTGGACAAATAAGATTGAAAGAATGAAAATGCCACTACAGAAATTAAGACTGCAGCTTCATGTAGAGTCTTCAGCAATGCTATGTATGAAAATTTACGACAGAATTAGAAAAGGACCATAAAACTCTGGGCAAAGGATTACAAGGCAAGACTTTTCCAGTCAAGACTGACTAGCTCAGCTACAGATACCAGTATTAGAGACACTCTAAGCTCAGGTACAAGGTAAACAATGGCTAATGTAAAACCATTACAGTGACTTGTCAATTCTTCTAATATCATAAGAGTTTAATCATTTTGATGGACAGAAATAAATATTAACTCTTATCTTTAACTCAAAGCTCAGTGGTGATCAGACCTCAGCAGTGGTAATGGTACTAGTTCTGATCATAAGCTGATAAAAACATGGCTATAACTACGTGATATAGCCCTATGCAAGTCTTTTGAGATGTCAGCCAACAGGTCAGTTGTTTATACACTGCAGGACATTTTATGGACTATGACATTTTGAGTCAAGCTGCTGTTCTCTACAGGACATAGAGTCTTTCAAAATCAAATCTATGGTTGTTTCAAATAACAACTATCTTATTTTATTACTATAGACATGCATAGAGAAAGCTTGTAGATAAAGTTCCAGGAAGTAAGGCTTGGACCTAACTGAATTACTTAGTAAAAAAAGTTTTCCTTTGCTACAGGAAAACATGAGAGTACTCTACTTTATGTGCTAGTGTCTCACACTGAATGGATTTTGGCTTTGAAGGTAATGAGTAATTAAGATGACATCTATCAGCAAACTACCAGTAATAGACTTAGCATTATTAAGGACAGTATAGCTTACCACACAATAGTTTAGAGTCTGTTTACAACTGGCAGGCATGGCAGGGAGCTATGGCTCCTTCAGTTAAGTCCCCGTACAGACAAACAGCTGTGCAAGGGTTTATTCCAATCCTAAAAACCCCAGACAACACAAACTAGTGATCAGGCTTAATTATGGAATCAGATATCTTCCACAAAGATGCAAAAGAATATATACATGCAAGTGTTCTAGAACACATGAACATATGTAGCACTGAAGTTACACACTGATACAGATGCCCTAAGTTGAATTTGGAAACAGATTCCATAAGAGTGCACTACATAAAATATTTAAAAAGCTGGGAAAAGTATGTAAGGAAAAAAAAAACTTCCTATTACATATGTTAATGTACAGTGCTCCTCAAAGGTATAATACATTTGTAAATATTAAATGCTAAATTTTACATACTAAGTAACGGTGTGGTCATCTGATCTTTTCACGAAATATTCAACACAGAAACTCAATGTGCAAGCACAGTTATCCTTTAATGTTGTACAAAGCTTTCTGAGAATTTTGGCTTGTATATCTGCAGACTACCACACCAGAATTTTGGAATGGACTTTACTAGTGGTCATGTAAAGTCTGCCCTGAAATCCTCATCAAACCCAGAAAATGCATATAGATTAGACTCAGAAGATGACACTTTTACTTCCTGTCCTTCTTCTGTTGGCTAGAATAAAGTGAGTTACCTATGTCACAGCCTTTCTGAATCACTGCCATCTACTTTTTTTTCCAGTCATCTACTTCATTTCCTAAAACACTTGGAGTTCTTCATTAAAAAATTCCAGGGGTCCTGGACAGTGCATTCTGTGGCTTCCCTCTGTCAGGCTGTAGTGACACAGAAAGCATCACTCTATAAAAACATGCATTATTATTGTCAACAAAATTCTAGTTACTTTTAACAGCATAACCTCCACAGAGAAAAGGATTGATATGACAAAAAATGAAGGTCAGAGAGAGTTTAAATACACCAGAAGAGGAGAGAAACTTAAAACATGGCATTTATAAAAGAGATACCGCAGCTTAGCAGCATGAAGTATTTCTTATTGAATAATTCAAGAGAGTCTCGTTCAGAACACTAACCTAAGTGCTAATTAGCCACAGCAACACATTTACTTTTCAACAAAAATATAAAATAAGATCTAATTAATCACCATTTCTAGTGGTAAAAGATGAAGTTCTCTAATTTATCTCTAAAACAGAAAGACAATAGAAGAGAAACAAAATTAAAGAAGAGCTTTAAAATAAAAGAAGGATTTTAAAGGCTAGGTTCCTGCGGGCATTTCAGTGCCTAGGGCATAATGCTCTGGTTAGCCCTTAAAACTCATCATCACAAGAGTGAGATGATTATTTCTCTTTAGGAGAAATCCCTTCTATGCCTGTAAACACAGAATAGAAGTTGAACATTATTTGAACTGACGTATGCATACAATTGGACTGAGAAAGAAGCGTATCAGAACCCATGTATTATTTTTTTAACTAAAAAAGGGACTAACTGAGCCTACACAACTCTTTGAAACTGAGTCAAGAAACTCCTCCACCAGCTCATTACACAGTACTCTGGTATAACATGTTTTTTGCAGTTTAATACATTATTTCTAACTAGAAAGTGAGGGGATACAAGAACTATTTATAGAACTTAGAAAATTTGATAACACTGAGAAGGAGGTCACTAAATCATAGATAAATGGAGAAAGTATTCTTAATAGGAGTTATAGTGTGCTCAGTAAAGCTGCTTCCACTGTTATCAGCCACATTATCTACAACACCCTTTTGATTCAAATTACAAATCCAACTGTAATACAACAAACAAACCCTAGCTAATAAGCCATAAAATTTCAATTGAATGCTTCCATTAAGCATACATATATAAACCAACTTCAAATTAAATGGCACTTGACTCATGCATTTTATTGTTCTAAATATTGCAGTCCCACCAGCAGAGTATTTTCATAGTAATTCTAAAACTGTTTTATTAACTTGTGTTATGTGCATATTTTAAGTGATCAGTAGTGCTGATCAAGAACACAGAAGGACAGATGTTTCATTGGCAGTAAGAACACAAGAGTGAATTCTCAGTTGTCAAGTTTCAGGCAGAAGTTCAACAGAAATACATGCTCATAGCTAAAGCTGAGTCTCATTACTGAGTTTGAAATGCCTATTTAAGATCTCCTCGATTAGTGAAGTACTGAAGTATATTTAACCTTGCCTCAGAACCTTAGTTTACTTCCGATTTAGATCCACAGGAATGAAAAGACAGAGCTTTATATGAAGAAGACAGTCTCTATTAAAAATCCACAAGTCATGAGGATGATTTACACTTGAGATAGTCAAGACTGTGAGTGTAGACTCAGCTGAAACTGGGATGTGAGCTCCTCCCTGTAACATTTGTCAGCAACAACATAACACCATAATCATGCCAAACTGGTCTGCTTGCAAGTATGCTTTTCCTTTAAAGAGACATTTGTCTTTTAATTTCCACAAACCCATTAAATTTTATAAAATTTCATTTCAGGAGTGGAGCTATAAATAGATTCTACAATCTTCTTCCTGTATTTGCTTCTTCACATTCATACTGATACAGTCTTTCTACCTTCTTTAGCATCTGCTTAAGTATTTGCATATTTTGTCATACAAATAAGCATAATGAAGTCTCTATATCTGTATTATTATCCGTTTCCAGTCTCCAGTATTGGAGGCACAAACCTTGTGAAAACAGAAGCTGTACAGTACCAGCGAAATTCTCTGAGTCTTTATTTAGAAAGCTACCAGCTCCTAAGAACATAATGTTCTGCTGGTTATCTTTTTCCCTGCATAAAGCTCAGCAGTCTTGCATTCAGACATCTTCACTGCTACATAGTGAGGTTCCATCTCTCAAAATAGGCTACTAAGGCCATATGTCCATTAGACATTGGCATAGTAACTATACAATGTATAAATGTAATGTGGCCACTGGGACACAGTTTTCTTCTAACATTATGAAAAAATACTAACATAAAAGTCTCTGGAACTGTTTAAGAAGTTTCAGAATACAGTAGTTATTTGGAAAACAGCTGAAAATCAAGTAATTGCTCATTAGTTCTTTCTTTTGCTGCTTATTGAGATATTTTTCTCTTACCAGGCATTATGATATTGGAAAAACCTAGTTTCCTTGTTATGGATACTCCGTGGGTAAATCTCGATGTATACTCTCTCCTAATTTGTTCTATGTCTCCATGAAGTAACTGAAGAGAAACTGCCAGACCTGAGAATGAAGAGAAAAACAATGAAAGATAAGACACTCAAACAGATTATGGACATCACTACTTGATGTCATGAAAACTAGCCATGAAAAAGCATTAGCAAATTATTACTAATGTGTAACTGAGCTATAATGACATATATCAAAATTATCTCAATAGAGATGGACTGAGGCCTTAACTAAAAAAAAGAACTACAAAAAGGTAAATTTAGAGAAATTTCAAACAGTAATATTTGATACCATTTCAATTTTCCACATCCTCCAACACAATCCTGTCTTCACTGATATGCAAGAAAAAGTGCACATAGAATGGTCCCAAACTATGGGTGAAACGCAGAAGTCTCATTACAGTGCATCAATTAACCTGATACAAAGTTATACAATTTATTAATCCAAAATCTGAAGAAACAAATTCTAATAAACCAATATAGCATAATCAGTAGTTTTTACTTAGAAATAGTACTTTCATAATGACTGAAATTACAATCTTTTTTTCAGTATTCATCAGATTTAATCAATCATACTCTTCCTTATGTTTGGTAGAAAACATGCAAAATGCAAGGGTGGACATATAATTATTTTCCAACATTTATTCTTCTAGAACCAAGGAAGTATAACTTCATCTACTACATCTGTGGTATACAAATAAATTGTAAAGAGCATACTTCATTACAGCTGAGATTAACAAAAACAACAGGCATGCCTTTTGGTTATTTCAAATATAATCACTGAGGCAAGTGTCTTCCCTGACCTTCAACAATACTACAGCATATTATGTATCAACACACAGATCATGGAGAAGATAAGAGCAAAGTCTTCATTTATGCTGAACAACTGGAGATAAACAGACAACTCAGAAGAGTCATAACAAACTTGGGATTAAGCTAAAGCAAATAACATGTACACACAAACTGAACAACAAGGTCATCAGTCCTTTCAGCTTTGAAAGAAATTTCCCCTACAACCATGCTACTATTTAACTGAACCATGCTATTTAACTGAATAAATTTACTTGAATTTTGATGGTTCCTAAAATCAGAGCTTGACAAATCTGTACTAAGTACTGCCAGCTCAGGCTACTGCAAATCAGATATCTGATTGCCATGACAACTTTTATATTTTTCTTCTTACCTACACTTACATTCTATTATTTTGGTAATTCCAGAGAACATGATACTCTGAGTAAACTTTCCTTCTCATCGAAAACAGCTCGCCTACACATATCCAACTGGGTACATAAACAAATCTTACAAGGAAAAACCTTCAGTGACGTCTATTCTATTTTATGGACTGTATTTAATGCCATGAACCATTAATTACTTTTGTAGGAGAATTTGTTCTGAGGTTATCTAGTGAACAAATTTTAGAAAATAGTGAAAATCATTATTGGTATAGGTCAGAAAACAAACTGCACTGTGGCTACCTGATGGTACACGAGTTTGGTACAAAGTCATACAGGTAAAATTCAGGCTCTCTTAGACCAAGTGAGAGGTTTTACACTGCTGTATGGGAAGATCTAGGCTGAGTACAGCTCTGCTATAAATATGGATATTTAGCCCACCTCCAATCTTGCTTCTTTTATATTTTAAGAAACTGCTATACATACATATGTATAATCATACCCCCATATGCCCCCATTGCACTGTTCCCTTGGAAACCTAAAAAAAAAACCTGCTGCAGATCACATCAACCACAACAGCATTAATCAGATATTGTACACCGCCTGGTGTTGAGCAAAGTTATTGTGTTTTCTAAACAAAAGTTGAAGACCCCAAATCAGATTTTATTTAACTACAAAGCTCACAAATTTCCTTGAAGAATTTTATTTAGCTCAAAAACAAGATGTCAAAAAACCTCATCAGTGGCAAAACTGGTTTAACTTGAGAAAAAAAGCTGTCAAGATTTGAAGTACTTGTTCATGCAAGGCGAGAAAAGATAGTAGAACTCTGCATTTCATGGCATTCATTGTTAGAAAATGAAGAGTCATCTCTATGAATCAAAAAGCAGCAAGAAAATCTCTCAGTGAACACACTTGAAACATGGGTTAGTCATTTTACCTATAGTTTATATACATCTTTGAAATATAAATGGTATGCATTCCCCAGCTCTTCAGAATAATGAAGAACACTGGATTACAGATAGCAAAATTACTTAAAAAGGTTGTATGCTGTAATGAGAGCAGTAAATAGGAAAGAGTGAAAATAAACCAGAATGGAAGCAGGGAAAAGATGCACAAGAAAGGAAGCCTGAAGAAACTCTGAAAAACAAGATTTCAAGTTAACATTTTTGCCACTGAGGATCCAGTTACCAAATAAAAGGGAATTGACAAGAAGGGAAGTGGAACTGATAAATCTGGTAAGAGTGTTAATGTAAGGAGCACACAGACTTTACACAATCAATGAAAAGAAGACAATTCCTAGTTAAAGGAATTGGATTGCTCTGTCAGAGCTCCACTAATTTTGCAAGGAAACCAGACTCCCCTGCATAAAGGACCTAAAATCATAAGAGGCATACTGTTACTGAGCTGTGATAGCCAAGTTACAGAACAGGTTGTTTGAATTCCCAATGACTTGTCACATTCAGAATGCTGAGATAGGCAAAAGGTATATATTGTACATGAAAAGTCAGGAACTTATTTATAGTCCTAATGAAACCTATAACAGTCTAATCAAAGAGTTACCATTAGTCCATTAACAATGGCACTAACGCACTCCAAACCAAACACCACAAAAATGACAAATATAAACAATTTTTCCAGTATCTACCCCTTGCTCACCCTTCCACTGACCCTCTGGATTCAGTGGTTTGAACCTGTGTAGGTATGGTATGGTGATTGAGTTATCAGCATCCCAAATCCTTTGCCATGAGAAGTAAGATGTTGCCTGTTTCTTCCTTCTCTCTTTCTAGGCTCCTCTTGGACTAATTTTTATGCTTGCTAATGTGCTTTACATCTTGTTATTTCTTCACTAGTCTACAACTCCTCATTACATCCTAACCGATCATATATGATGGGTTTTATATATGCCACATATCTGTTATTTCTTCTCTTCTTTTCCCTTAAAACTGATTTTATTCTGCTCTCAAGGTCACAGTATTTGATGACCAGTAATTGCTAAGTGGTTCATAGGTCTGAGGCCTCTAATATCACGCCATGCCTGTACTTTCAAGGTGTCAGTTATGGTCACATGTCTTTACTCTTCTACGTTTCATTTTAGTCTAGGGTTATAGACAGTTAACTCTACACAGAGTAACTGCATGTTATAACTATTTATTAAATACAAAGCATACCTATCAAGGTGGGTTACACCACACAACTGCACAAAGCTAAGCTATAGCAAGAGCTATAATAAAGCAGATAGAATTTATTATTTTTTCATTAGATATATGCTCCTAAAAGTCAGACCAAATCTCCAGGCAGCCTACGACAAGTCCAGCCAGCCAAAGCCAGATACGCAATGTGGACCTTGCTGTCAGCCAAACACAAAGCCTGTGACCATTGCAAGCCACAACAATCCCATATTTATGGGTCTATAAAAATACAACGCACTTGCCAAAGAAAGTAGACACCCATCATGACTGAGGAAACATGTATTTGCAATAAAAGTCATGAGGGAGAGAATTCTTTACTGTGAGGGTACTGAGACACTGGAACAAGCGGTCTAGAGAAATTGTGGATGAAGAGGCCTGGAACTAGATACCTTTAAGGTCCCTTTAAGGTCCCTTCCAACCCAATGCATTCTATGATTCCAAGATTCTTCATCAAAATGTTACCAGAATTTTGCATACCATAACAGGCAGAAGGTCACTGAGGTCAATTTACAAAGTGATTAAAGCTATTGCTGTGAAGAAAGGGGTGGAGGGGAAATATTGCTTCTAGAAAGGAGGTTTAATCACCAGACACTAATGAGACAGGGTTAAGGTAGAGAAGGTTTCCAAAGAATTTAGAAAGCAACCAGTCTGGGAGAGATGAAGAAGACACTCACAGAAAATGAATACAGTCAAAAGAATGCAGAGATACTCTATTTGTACCCAGAGACAGAAAATAATTCATTAACAATTCTCTTATGGAAACATGACTACCTTTTCTGCCATTTAACAAAGGTAATACCCTATAGTTTTAATTTATTCCACTCTGATGATGTATATCTACATCAGTTCTTTCTCATCTCTTTTCATACACACAATAAAATTATCAGTCTTAGACAAAATTAGAGCATTTTGTGATGCACAAAGCAAAATAGAGAGCTGCAACATGCCACCATACACTGCATCTGACTGTGGCTGATACGATCATTACATCACTTTGGATAAACACTAGGTGTCATAAACTTCATAACTATACATTTTCCATTTCTAGAACAGTAGGGGCTAAAACATAACAATAAAAATTATTATCCAGTCTCTGAAGGACTGGCACATTTTCTTTAATTAGCTACATAGTGTAGCTTTGTCCCCTCAGAAAAAATTTCAATTACCTCCCTAATGGTAATTAAAACCTCTTGTGTTAGCTATTATTCTTTATTTACCCCAGTTCTGAAAATACTACTACAATACTCTATATGAAACTGCAAAAATATCTGCTTTTATTTCTTTTGCAAGCTAATGAAATTTCTCACTATTAACTTGTACTAAAGTTCAACACAGATTATTTTTATCAATCAGATGAAAGAGAATGCAGAAAATTGACAAGCTGCTGAATAAACATCCCAGACTTTTGTTAGATTTGTCATTTTACCTTCAAACAGCTTTTGTACTGCATTATTGATTTCTGCATTTAGTTATAACAAAAAGCAACTGTTCATTATAGACCCTTTATTTGCTTATAGACCCTTTATTTGCATTTGACCTTCTGGACAGAGGGGAAAGCATTTACATTCAGCTTCTATCTACTGACAGCAGAGAATCCTAGATCATATTAAGAAGAAAATGCCTAGCAGCTGCTCAGGAAACTGATAAAAAAATGCCCCAACCCTCAAACAGAATGTTATTCATCACTGTTTGTA